GGTGTTCTGTATATGGTGTTCTGAGCTGCCAACAAAAGGGATGAGTACAGACGCCAGATATTTGGAATCATTGTAAGTGACAGAGTTAATCATGCTAACGATTGGTCTTACAGGTACACCTTGTTTGTGGATTTTAGGTAAACCATACAGACTAGGTGTGGCCTCCCCTGGGTACAGTCTGTGGTACAGAAAACGGTCAGTAGCCTTGTTCTGCTCCAAAATTTTCAGGCAATCTATCAATTTCTTCTTGTAACCACTTCCTGGATCTCTTTTCAGAGGTTCATAAGTGTTTACGTCACTAAGGAGTGTCATAACTTTCTCATGATAGTCTTTCTGGTTCAAAATCACTGTGCACCTTCGTCTGCTGGGAGAATGATGATGTTTTTGTCCTTGCTAAGAGTGGTGAGTGCGTCCCTCTCCTCTCTACTGATGTTGGAAGGTGGTGGTTTGGCATTGCTGAGGCAGGATGAAACTTTGATTCTGAGCTGTTCTGCTTCAGCCTCTTTAATTTTGTTGTTGCGGATGGCTGACTCAGTAGCTGTGATCATCTCCACCAGAGGAATTCTACTTGGTGCAACCGCAAAGTTCAGTCCCCTGGCAAGAATCTCTGTCTCTGGCTGGTTGAGCTGTCTGTCAGATAAATTCTTCACCCACTTTTCTGTCTCCCTGGCAGAAATATATATATATATATATATATATAAATATATGAACATACATGCATATACATACATACATATATATACATACATACATATCTATACATACATACATGTATATACATATATATACATACATACAAACATACATACATATATATATATATATACATACATACATATACATACATACATATCTATACATACATACATATATATACATACCTACATATATATATATACATACAAATACAAACCGGATTCCAAAAAAGTTGGGACACTAGACAAATTGTGAATAAAAACTGAATGCAATGATGTGGAGATGGCAAATGTCAATATTTTATTCGTAATATAACATTGATGACAGATCAAAAGTTTAATCTGAGTAAACGTAACATTTTAAAGGAAAAATATGTAGATTCAAATTTTCACAATGTCAACAAATCCCAAAAAAGTTTGGACAAGTAGCAGTAAGTGGCTGGAAAAAGGAAATTTAGCATATAACGAACAGCTGGAAAACCAATTAACACTAATTAGATCAATTGACAACATGATTGGGTTTAAAAAGAGCTTCTCAGAGTGTCAGTGTCTCTCAGAAGCCAAGATGGTAAGAGGATCACCAATTGCACCAATGTTGCTCAGAAAGATAGTGCAGCAATACCAGAATGGTGTTACCCAGCGTAAAATAGCAAAGACTTTTAAGTTATGGTAAATAGTATATGGACTGTACTTATATAGCACCTTTCTATTTAATTTCAAGATACTCAAAGCGCTTTATACTACAATCTGTGCCCTCATTTACCCATTCATACAGCACTCTACTAGATCTCTACAAAGCTAATTGAACAAATCATTCTAATGAGACTAATCAGTGCTTTATCACATTCATACACCGATGGGACACACATCGGAGGCTGAGGGGTTCAGTGTCTTGCCCAGCGACACTTCGACATGTGACTGCAGGTGGATTCGAACCCCCAACTCTTGCATTGGAGGACGAATGCTCTAACCACTCAGCCACAACCGCCCCATCATATCATCATCAACCGTGCATAACATCTTACAAAAGATTCAGAGAATCTGGAACAATCGCTGTGCGTAAGGGTCAAGGCCGTAAAACTCTACTGGATGCTCGTGATCTCCGGGCCCTTAAACGTCACTGCACCTCAAAAAGGAATGCCACTGTCAAGGAAATAACAGAATGGGCTCAGGAATACTTCCAGAAAGCATTGTCAATGAACTCAATCCACCGTGCCAGCTGCCGTTGCCAGCTGAAACTCTACAGTGCAAAGAGGAAGCCATTTCTAAGCAAGCTCCACAAGCTCAGACGTTTGCACTGGGCCAGGGGTCATTTAAAATGGAGTGTGGCAAAATGGAAGACTGTTCTGTGGTCAGATGTGTCACGATATGAAGTTCTTTATGGAACACTGGGACGCCATGTTATCCGGACCAGAGAGGACAAGGATAGCCCAAGTTGTTATCAACACTCCGTTCAGAAGCCTGTATCACTGATGGTATGGGGTTGCATGAGCGCTTGTGGCATGGGCAGCTTGCATGTCTGGAAAGGCACCATTAATGCAGAGAACTATGTTCAGGTTCTATAACAACATATGCTCCCATCTATACGTCATCTCTTTCAGGGAACACCCTGCATTTTTCAACACGATAATGCCAGACCACATTCTGCAGCAATCACAACATCATGGCTATGTAGGAGAAGCATTCGGGTACTGAAATAGCCAGCCTGCAGTCCAGATCTTTCACCTATAGAGAACATTTGGCGCATTATAAAGAGGAAGGTACGACAAAGAAGGCCCAAGATGATTGAACATTAAAAGGCCTGTATTAGACATGAATGGGAGAGTATTCCTATTTCTAAACTTGAGAAACTGGTCTTCTCTGTCCCCAGACATCTGTTGAGTGTTGTAAGAAGAAGGGGGGATGCCACACAGTGGTATAAATGGACTTGTCCCAACTATTTTGGGATTTGTTGATGCCATGAAATTTGAAAACAACAGATTTTTCACTTAAAATGATACATTCGCTCTGTTTAAACTTTTGATCTGTGATTTGTGTACTATTCTGAATAAAATATTAGATGTTGGCACCTCCACATCATTGCATTCAGTTTTTATTCACAATTTGTTTAGTGTCCCAACTTTTTTGGAATCCAGTTGTGTATATATATATATATATATATATATATACACCCCCGCCATGGGCTGCCACCTTACCGTGGTGGAGGGGTTTGAGTGTCCCAATGATCCTAGGAGCTATGCTGTCAGGGGATTTATGCCCCTAGTAGGGTCACCCAAGGCAAACAGGTCCTAGGTGAGGGACCAGACAAAGTGCAGCCCAAACAACCCTATGATGAGTAAAAGAAATTGACTTGATCTTCCCTCGCCCAGATGTGGGTCACCGGGGCCCCACTCTGGAGCCAGGCCTGGAGGTGGGGCATGCGGGCGAGCGCCTGGTGGCCGGGCTTTTACCCATGGAGCTCGGCCGAGCACAGCCCGAAGAGGAGACGTGGGTCCCCCTTCCCATGGGCTCACCACCTGTGGGAGGGGACAAAGGGGTCGGGTGCAATTTGGGATGGGTGGTGGCCGAGGGCGGGGACCCTGGCGGTCTGATCCTCGGCTACAGAAGTTGGCTATTGGGACGTGGAATTTCACCTCTCTGGTGGGGAAGGAGCCTGAGCTGGTGTGTGAGGTTGAGAGGTTCTGGCTAGAAATAGTCGGACTCACCTGAACGCATGGCTCTGGCTCTGGAACCAGTTTCCTTGAGAGATGTTGGACACTCTTTCACTCTATATTTGCCCTTGGCAAGAGGCGCCGAGCAGGAGTTCAGCATACTTGTTGCCCCCAATCTTGTTGCCTGTATGTTGGGGTTCGCCCCGGTTAATGAGAGGGCAGTCTCCCTCACCTACATGTGGGGGGACGGGTTCTGACTGTTGTTTGTGCTTATGCTCCAAACAGCAGCTCAGATTACCCACACTTTTTGGAGTCCTTGGAGGGGGGTACTGGAGATTGCGCCTCCTGGGGTCTCCCTTGTTCTACTGGGGGACTTCAATGCTGACGTGGGCAATGACAGTGAGACCTGGAGGGGTGTGGTTGGGAGGAATGGCCCCCCTGATCTGAACCCGAGTGGTGTTCTGTTATTGGACTTCTGTGCTCGTCATGGATTGTCCATAACGAACACCATGTTCAAGCATAAGTGTGTCCATATGTGCTCTTGGCACCAGGACACCCTAGGCCGCAGTTCGATGATAGACTTTGTTGTCGTCTCATCTGATCTGCGGCCGCATGTCTTGGACACTTGGGTGAAGACAGGAGCGGAGATGTCCACTGACCACTACCTGGTGGTGAGTTGGCTCCGATGGTGGGGGAGGATGCCGGTCAGATCTGGCAGACCCAAACGTATTGTGAGGGTCTGCTGGGAACTTCTGGCAGAGTCTCCCGTGAGATGGAGCTTTAACTTCCACCTCTGGGAGATCTTCGAACACGTCCTGGGGGAGGCGAGGGACATCGAGCCCGAGTGGGCCATGTTCCGCACCTCTATTGTTAAGGTGGCTTATCGAAGCTGTGGCCACAAGGTTGTCGGTGCTTGTCGCGGCGGTAACCCTCGAACCCGGTGGTGGACACCGGCGGTGAGGAATGCTGTCAGGCTGAAGGAGTCCTATCGGGCCTTTTTGGCCTGTGGGACCCCTGAAACATAAGCATCTGATGGGTACCAGCAGTCCAAGCGGCATGCGACTCGGGTGGTCGCTAAGGCAAAAATTTGAGCGTGGGAGGAGTTTGGAGAAGCTAAGGAGAATGACTTCCATACGGCTTTGAGGCGATTCTGGTCCACCATCTGGCTTCTCGGGGGGGAAAGCGGTACACCACCAATACTATTTATAGTGGAGGTGGTGTGCTGCTGACCTCAACTCGGGATATCGTGGGTTATTTTTTGCAATTGCTAATTTTTTTAAATGCAACAGCATTAGGACCAGAGTAAACAAATACATATTAGGTCTGGAACTAACATGAAAGCTGAGTCATTCATCCATTCCCTTTTCTGTAGACACGCTACTGTTCAAGTTAAATGGCTGAACATTAGAAAACGTCCATAATTAACGTTTAAGCTAAGTGGAGCTCAGTGAGCTCAGTTCCTGTCTACATTATTTACCCAGAATGCATTGCAGCATAAATAAACTGACAACGTCCGTGTGTCAGTAATAAAACAATGATAAAACCTAAACAGCCTGCAGTATGTTTTGGTCTCATTTTTATAGCTGAAGTGATCGTTCATCAATTAAGGTCTATTGTTCTGACTTGTCAGAGATCTCATTAAGATCAAACTGACCTCCTGGAAGAAGCTTGTTGGAGGGAAGATCCCCAGACAGATGGAGAGCAGAATCCAGCCCTGCGTGCAGTTCCTCTTGTTCTTGTTGTTCACCAGCTGCTTGCAGATCTGACAGTAGATCTCATCTCTGCACGTCCAGGAAAAGAACCAAAAAACATTAGCCCCTTATTTGCAAATCATTATGATTATTTTTGAGAATCTAAAGCCCTTTTATAAACTTTGTACCGTATGCCTTTTCTCAGTAGAGCATATCCAACAATAATGTGCAATTTTTCCAGGGATGTAAGCGGGCGATGCAGCGTCGGTCCCTCTCCTATCAGAAGGTCCTCGTTGTCTGTGAAGTTCTCTGGCTAGTTAAGATGAGGACAACGCAAACAATCATCACCCCATCATACAATATGAAGATATTTAAGTGAGCAGCACATCGATGTCCCCCGTCACTGAGGCATTTGAATAGTGAATGTTTTGTAGTTTTGGAGAGCAGTGTTTTTCTGGTCTGGATTTGAACATAATTTAAGTAAACCTAAATGTTTTTGGTGCAACATATTGAAGTGGGGAGGAGTTACTCTGTGGAGAAGAACAGAGGGAGACTTTTTTTTGCTTGTCCGTGTGGAAGGAGCAGTTTTATTCACTACCAGGAAAAATGGTGGAGCCAGGGGGTGGCTAAAGATGACCTTGGCCACCACAGATTAGACTTTGGCCACCCCAATCATTTGACAACACTATACTTTTGTGCAATATGAAAACTAGAAAGCATAGTTTCCTCAAATGATAAGGTTGGTTGTTGCTAACAACCTCAAACAGGTGCTACTAATTTAAAATAATAAGTGGAGTGAAGATGGACTTTTTAGAGGCGGACTAACAGGTTTTTGAGAGTCAGAATTGTTGCTGATTGGCAAGTGTTCAAATACTTGCAGCAGTAACACAAATAAATTACTAAAAAAAATCATACATTGTTTTTTCCGGAGGACTTGCGACCCGTCCACGGTGTACCCCGCCCCTCGCACAGTGATTGCTGGACATGGGCACCGGCGACCCCCGTGACCCAAAATGGAATAAACGGGTAAAGATAATGGATGGATGGATGGATATTTTTTCTGGATTATTTTTTAGATTGTCTCTCACAGTGGACATGCACCTAAGATGAAAATTTCAGACCCCTCCATGATTTCTAAGTGGGAGAACTTGCAAATTCGCAGGGTGTTCAAATACGTTTTTTCCTCACTGTATATGGTGGTGGTCATCTTGGATTTTGATTGGCAACCAAATTTTCGATAGTGACCTTTTTTACCCCTAGATGCAACCACACCAACATCAAAGTTGGCACGTAACAAATTTTTCAAGTTATACAGTAATGCTCACAACATGGACAGACATTTATGACATTTAGTGCAGCAGCTATCTTGGATTTTGGCATACCCACTAAATTTTTCACACTTTTCTTACGCCTAGCATGCTCATAACACACTGATGGGCGGAGGATATATTCCCCATTTTCTCCATGACGGGGGACAATCAATGACTGAATGGTGAAGACTGTAACGACCTCTTCAGGAATAGCTGATGCTTTTCTGCTTGCACCACTGTGCTTTTTCTTCTTTCGCAGTATTTTCTGTAAAAACAAACACATGGTTGTTAGATGTTAGGTTATGACTCTTGCTGGACATGTTTATTTTTTACAACAATTAAAACAAACACACCTGGTCCAGTCCCACCAGGCTGCTCAGCCTGCGACCCTGCTTGTGAGGCAGGAGGCTGGAGATGGTGCTCTGTGAAATAGTGCTGCTGGAGATCTGGGATATAGAGTCGGCTGATTTTGGTTCCGGCAGATCTCCCATGAAACGCAAAATAATCCATGACACTGTCTGACTCGCCTGAAAAACAAAAAGCAGACACTGAATGAGATGCTGCAGAAAGCTGAATAATTAAAAACAAAACTGAAACATTACGTTTGAATGATAAACTTCAAGAATGCATTTATCTTATAAAACAGTTACAGTAATTGTTTAAGCCAAGGGTATCTAAGGTTGGTCCATAAAGGCCACTACCCTGAATGTTTTACTTGTTTCCCTGCTCCAACACACCCAATTCAATAGCTAAATTACTTCTTTATGTTCTGCAGAATCCTGTTAACCACCCATTGATTCAAATCAGATGTGCTGAAGTAGAGAAACATCTAAAAACATTAAGGATAGAGGCCCTTGAAGGCCACTACCCTGCATGTTTTACCTATTTCCTTGTTGCAACACACCTGATTCTATGGTAAAATGGACTCTGTGTTCTACAGAAGCCTGCTAATCACTCATTGATTCATGTCATAAGTGTGGGCGAAGCATTTAAAACATGTTGGACAGTGGACGTCAAGGACCAATACCCTGCGTGTTTTGTTTCCCTGCTCCAACACACCTGATTCAATGGCTAAATCATCTCTTTATGATCAGCAGAACCCTTTTAACCACCCATTGATTCAAGTCAGGTTTGTTGTAGCAGGAAAACACCTAAAACATGCAGGACCGTGGATCTTTAGAACCAGGATTGGACTCCATTCATTCAACCTTTATATATACAGATTAGTCTCACTGAGTCACGAGGACTCATTTACAAGAGAGACACGTTCTATTGCTTGAAGCAATTGTTCTGATGTACAGTAAAATAAACCTCCTGATAGCTGTTACTCTAGGTTCTTTCTTTTTTTTTCTTTTTTTTTTTTTTTTTTTCTAGATGGCTTCCCTTCTCCCCTTACAGCCATCCTCTCCACACCATTATTATGAAATATTTATTCTAGTGACTATCTAGTGTAGGGTTTTTTTTTTTTTTTTTTTTAATAGGATAGAAAGAAAGAAAAGACAATGTAAGACTCCAAAATATAAGAAATATACACAAAGAGAGCACACGTCAAAACACCCGGCCACTGTCTGTTCACCTGCAAAGAACACGACAAAACATAGCAACAAAATACATATGTATAAAGAACTTAAAATATTCATGGCTTTGCAGTAAGTTTCCATAAATATATATACCCATACCTACACCTATATACATACATACATACATACATACACATGAATATACATTCACATACATATCTATATATCTATATATCTACATATAAAGCCTACATAAGCATCCCTGCTTCTATTTGTGTGTGGTTGTGAGCATGCATAAGTGTATAAGGCTTCTCTAATAGAACATTTAATAGTAACTGTGAAGAAGCAGAGACCCGACCCCCAAGACCAGAGGTAGACGAAAAAGGGGGGACCAGAGCCCAAGACCCCCAGGAGGGACCCCGACCGCGGAGCCCCCAGAGCCACCCACACAGGACGAACCACTCACCCACCCCCCAGAACGAACCACAGGGGAGAACCGGAAGATCCCCACCAGCGACCACATACAGTGACCCCCCGGGGCCAACAGCGACACACTCATAGGCCTCCGTCGGAACCCGCCGCACCGATGTAGGTCCAGGTCCGGGCACCGAGGCCCGGGCACCGAGGACTCACACCACCCAGGCCAAGGCCCGACAGGGCCAGAGGACCCGAGCCCCACCAGGCAGACACCAGGCCGAGCCGACACACGCCCAAGTGCCCAGCCCCCGACACCAAGAGCCCCAAGCACGCCGGCAGGCAAGGGCACACCCCACCAGGGGGCCGCGCGATAGGGGCGCGATGCCAAGCACCCCCAGTGCTTGGCATCGCGCCCCTATCGCCCCTAACTCTAGGTTCTAGCCGACTCTATATCCCTATCGCCCCTAACTCTAGGTTCTTTCTTGACTTATGCAGTAATAGAAAGTAAGCCAGATGCTGGATTTGTCTTTGAATCTTCTCACCAGTGCGTCCGCCTCGTCCTCGTGGTGCAGGAGGGGATCCTTCAGTCTTTGAGAGGTGTGCTTGTGATTCACATTGTTCTGGAAGTGCTTTTTACTGAAATTATAGAAAGAGAACAAGTCACTCTCATCGTCAAAGCCGTCGTAGAACTCCTCCTCATCTTCCTCCTCCAGTGAGGGCGTTGGGGTTGATGATGGAGAAGCTGGAGTGATGATGATATCCATGGCCTGCGCCGAGCTCCCAGTGGTTTGCTCGTCTGGCTCTTTAACAGCCTGTCGCGGGCAAACAGAAGCAATATAACACATTACTGCCAGTTAGCGCATTGCCTAAAAACATGTAAGACTCATGAAGCAACAAAAATCACCCCCTAACCTGAAACTCTAATGGCTTTGGTTCTGGTTGCTGTTCGTCTTCTGCCTCAGTGAAAATGAGCTCTTCATATGTGCTTTCCACAGAATCACGTTCATTTCTTGGCTCCGGTAAAATGAGTTCATTAACAACCTCTGTTTTTTCAGTGGCTTGCTCGGCAATAACGTGTTGCAGTCGCTGCTGAATTTCTGCAACCATCTGTTCCTGGAGGAGTGCCTGTTCTGCCATTTGTCGTCTCTTTAGCTGATAGTCTTTCCTGACCAAGTGGCCCCGCACCTACAGTCAGTTCAGCAGAAAAAAATGAGAACTAAATGACAAAAAACTGTAAAGATATGAACAAATTTACAATATAATAATGTAGAGACGTATTATCAGGTAGAATCAGGCCATCTGTTTTTTTCCAGTATTATTCAGATGTATCCTCATTGTTCAGAAACACACAATATATTCAAATGAATCATTACTTTTTACACAAAAACATAAACAAAATGAAAAGTCCACTCCATGATCCAGCAGCTGCTAGAATCTGCTTTCTTATCAGAAACTCTCAGTAGTGGTTTCTGTACGAGGACTTTAGAAGTCTCTCATGTGGGTGTTGGTGAATTCACTCTTCTTTGCAGCGTTGCGTCAGTTTATTGAAGTTTGAGACAATCATTTCTGCACTGATCTGCAAAGGTCTAGTCACAGCATTTTAGCCAAGTTGAGGTCTAGACTGGGGCAGCACGGTGGCGCAACTGGTAGAGCTGCTGCCTCTCAGCGAGCAGGTCCCTGGTTCAAACCCCGGTCCAGGGGCCTTTCTGGGTGGAGTTTGCATGTTCTCTCCGTGAATGCGTGGGTTTTCTCCGGGTGCTCCGGTTTCCTCCCACAGTCCAAAAACATGCATGTTAGGCTGATTGGTAACTCTAAATTGTCCCTAGGTGTGAGTGAGAAAGTGAATGGTTGTTTGTCTCGTTTGTCTCTATGTGGCCCTGTGATGGACTTGCGACCCATCCAGGGTGTACCCCGCCCCTCGCACAGTGATTGCTGGACATGGGCACCAGCGACCCCCGTGACCCAAAATGGAATAAACGGGTAAAGATAATGGATGGATGGATGGAGGTCTAGACTTTATCCGGACCGTTCCAGCCCCTTGATTCTTTTGTTTTTCAGCCAATCTGTCATAGATCTGATGTTTGGGATCATTGTCCAAGCCCAAATCATCACCTCTCCACCACCATGCTCCACCCTTGGTAGGTAGAGATGTTGGTATGTTGGGTTTGGTTTTTAACAGACATGGTTCTATGCATTATGGGTAAACATCTCTACTATTGTCTAATATGTCCAATGGACATTGTTCCAGAAGTCTTGAGGTGCATTAAGAAGGAACTTCACAAACCTACGTCGAGCTGCCATGTTCTGTATGAAGCAGGGCTCAATTTGTAAACTGATGCCGGAACAAAAACAGCAGGCGGTCCGGCTGGGGTGGGGGGTTGGTTGGCGGTTGTGTTCGTGGGTCCTCCCCCAGAAAATTTTGAATAAAAGAGATGCCATTTCCTGCATTTTGGTGTATCTTAACAGGTTGTTAAACATCTGTAAACATTTTATTAAATTCATTAAAAACAGATTTCTCTTGTAAATGAGTCCTTGAGGCTCAATGAGACTGACAAACTGTATAAATAAAGGTTGAATTGAAATTACTATTTTAGAGAGCAACAACACTTAACAAGCCTGCGTGTGAATGCAGCTCCTATTCTGTTGAGCGTCCTAACACCCCACCCTCCCACACACCCCCACCCACACACTGTCTGACCCGAACTCTGCTGAATTCAGTCCTACGTGTTGTTCTGCTCCAATCTCAATTGCCACTGCCTTCAGGTGCTTCAATTCTCAGTTGTCCAGCTAAGGACAATCCATCCATCCATTTATTTTAGATAATAAATTGTCTTTTTGACATTTTGATAGCTGTTATTTTGACAAATTAGTGCCGTTGTTTTGATACGTGATGTTAATACACATCAAACATTTCACTTGTATTATTATTATTTTTTACTGTAAGTTTATTTATTATGTCTGAAATGTTATGCATCGCGGTCATGTAAGCAGGAATTCTGACACAGCAGTTGTGCGCGCGTCCTGCAGAGCTGTCTGGAGACGCTGCGCGTAAAACAACCAGGGCGCACAGCTGAAGGTGGATGAAGACGCTCCCCGCTGGACATGCAGTCCGCCTGCTGGGCAGGAGCGTGGTGCGGCCGGAACATCCACTCCACAGACTGGGCGAAGTCTCCTCTCGTTGTATTTTTAATAAGTAATAAAAATAAAAATGTGCAATGACTTTGGACTTTTAGGGGCGGAGATTTGAGTTGCCGGATCCGAGCGGTCAAAATGAGAGAGTTCTCGATCTTGTTCCGGCAGGATCTGACTTAAATTAAGCACTAGTATGAAGACAGGAAACAAGCCACACTTGTTCAGTCTTTTTCTAACTCTCGTCATGAACTTTAACCTTTAACCGGTGACCTGAGGCCTGTAGAGTCTGAGATGGAGCTCTTGGGTTTTATGCATTTTTTTTCTGAGCTTTGCATGGTCTGATCTTGGGGTGAATTTGCTGGGACCTTCATTCTGGAAAGCTTGGCAGACACCCTAAATATGTCCACTTGTGAATAATGATGGACTCCAACTTGTTTGGAAATTACCTTTAACTTCTCCCAGACTGATGGGCAGCAGCAGCTGCCTCTCTAAAGTCAGTGCTGATGTCTTTCCATCTTGTCATTGTGTTAATGCACCTGTACGCTGCAGAGCAACAAACTGACCAAACTGATGATGATCAGTTCATTAAAACATCTGATTAGCATAGCCTGGAGGAGACTGAACCTCTCAAGTCTCCTGGAGATAGCATGAGAGGACTTTGTTTATTTACATGCAGCATTTCCATATGGGCTTCATTTTGGTGAAACAAATAAGAACACGATGGGGTCTGTTGTGTCTTTTTGTTTACTTAAGGTTAAATTTGAACAATCTGAGCATCTAATAAAGATCTGATCCTTTATCTTAGGTCCTGATGAGTAAAACCCTAAAGAGGATGGATTTTCATGTTTCACAACTGGAAATGTTTTCAACTTGAATACTTGTTCACCCAGCATACCATTTATTTTCTGTAGTGCTTAAATCAAAAATCTACATTGTGTTTAGTATTTGGAGCTTGCCTGTTTCTGCATGACAATCGCTGCTCTCTGCTGTCTGTGGTACTGAAACTGAAGTGTCCGACTTCGGATTGTTGACACCAGCCGTGCCAAATTGTGTCGAAGCTAGAAGGAGCAGAGAACAAAGAAAGCATTTCAAAAGCCTCAAGGTGAGATTGTTGTGTCAGCCACTAGCTCTGAATCCAACAGGAAGTTTTCAAACAACACACCTTCATCATATTTTTCCTCGCTTTACAAGCTCTCCAGTTTTTCTGCAACACCACAGCTGCCCTTCGCTTCTTCAGGAAACACTTCCTGAAAAAAATAATACATGCCAACAACTAAGAAATTTCCTCAATAGCTATGTTTTTGTGTCTTCTTATGCAACGTTCCACTCTGTCACCATAAAATCACCCTATCTGCAGATGTGCTGTGCTGATATGGATATTTGTTACTGCAGTGAAAGATAAAGCTGAGGATGTTCAGTCAAGATCTCTCATCGTCTGAATGTTTCTGAATCATTCTCACCATTTTTCTTCTGTACATTTTTCATAACTTGTCCCGTAAGGTTTGTGTTTTTTCAACAGTTCAGGAATCAAAACATTTCGCTCATTCAGGACATTCCTGCTGTGACTTTTGGCGTTTGTGCAATTCTTACTTTTTTAAATATTTAGCTTTGTCTGCCATGTTTTTCTAATTGAAAATGAATAGAGCTCTTCACATCCCTTTGAGCTGTTTACAAGCCTTCTACTGATCATTTCAGCTATTGTTCTGATTTAGCTTTCTTCAGCTTATTTATACTAAATTTGGCTTTTTCAGTTACTTTTTTAGTTAGCTTTCTGCTAATTTTAGCCTTTTTTATTTGAGCTAATTTCCAACTTTTGTGCTTGTTTGGAATAATTTATATTTTAAATGGTAAATGGACTGTGCTTATATAGCACCTTTCTATCTTATTAAGACACTCAAAGCTCATTACAACACAATCTGTGCCCTCATTTATCCATTCATACAGCACTCTACTAGATCTCTACAAAGACTAATCAGAGCTTTAGATCACATTCATACATTGATGGGACACACATTGGAGGCAATGAAGGGTTTAGTGTCTTGCTCAGGGACACTTCAGCATGTGACAGCTTGTGAAATTGAACCCCCAACTCTCACATTAAGGACAATTGCTCTAACCACTCAGGCACAGCCGCCCCTATTTCATGCTCCTTTTAGCCTCTTTCTGTTACATTCTATTCTTTTTTGTTTGTTTGTTTTATTCAGCTTCTTTAAAAAATTTACCGTATTTTCCACTTTATAAGTCGCACCAGAGTATAAGTCACATATGTCCAAATATGTCTAATAATTTGGAAAAATCTATAAATACGTCGCTTCGCCGTATAAGTCGCACATATTATGCGTCACCACAGATGTGTTGCATTTTTTATGCGTCACTGCTGACAACCTGGAAATGTGGGCCGGTGGGCCGGTGTTGTACCTAAAATCGCTTTGTTGCTAAAATGACAGTTGTTTGGGAGGACTTTAACCAGATTAACACTTATAATAAATTATTTGTTTGTTCAACATTATAGCAAAAGTGTGTCTCAGTTGAACTATTCCTTAAAAAATGCACATTAATGGTCAAATCAGCTGAATGCAAATATAGTTTCGCTGCTCTGGTGCTGCAAAGCGGGCACGCGCAGCGCAACTGGCTGCGGCATTTCTTTTAAATTTAACAAGATAACCACCTGAAAAAAATATTTGTTTGTTCGGCTTTAAAGGTGTGTCTCAGTTGAACTATTCCTTAAAAAATGCACTTTAATGGTCAAAACATGGCGAAATGAAGCAGCTTTAACATTACACGCCCACCCAGTCATAAATAATACCAGAAACACTTGTTTATTTTATTTGTTTTACTTGGTTTTTTTTTGTTTGTTTTTTTGTTTTTTCATTCAAATTCTCGAATTCTTCGTCCTCGGTGTCACTGGCAAAGAGTTCTGCCAACTCCCGAGGAAGATGAAGGGGTGCCTCAACCTCCTCTTCTTCCCCGGGGCTGTCAGAGTCCTTCTCCATGTCAGCTCCAGCTCCAGCTCCAGCTGATAGTCCAGCCTTCCTGAACCCCAACTGGATTGTCTCTTTACTCACTGAGGTCCACGCTTTGTCAATCCAGCCGAGGACCTGTTGGAATGTGGCGTGGCGCATCCGTCCAGTGGCGGTGAAGCTGTGGTCTCTGCTTACCATCCACTCCTCCCACAGGTGACGCAGGGCAGCTTTAAAGCTCCGGTTAACGGAGATGTCGAGAGGCTGGAGGTTTTTGTTAATCCTCCAGGGATAATGGCAGGTAAAAAGTTGCAAGGTTTTATTTTCTCCTTAAACTGGGGCATAATGTGTAATGGGCTGGAGGGGTTTTAGTGGGTTTTGGAATAACAGATACGCCTACCGGTAGTCGTCAGAAGCCTAGAGCGCTAGCACCTGTAGTGGCTGTAAAGGGTAGTATTCATGTCAGAATGAATATTATCAGAAGCCTGGAGAGCTAGTACATCCTCTAGCACCTCTAGTGGCCACAAAAGGTAGTGTTCATGTCAGAATGAATGAAAACGTCCATATCTCAGTCAATATGGGAAAAAATTCATAAATAAGTCACTTCGCCGTATAAGTCGTAGGGTATGCAAATTAGGCAAAAAGGTGCGACTTATATGCCAGAAAATACGGTACTTTTTATTTCAGCTTTTATTTTTTTTATGAATTCAGCTTCTCTACTTATTTCAGCTTATTCTGTGCATTTCTGCTCTCTTCAGCCTTTGGGCACATTTCTAATGATTTCTGCTTTTATTTCCCTGCTTTCAGTAAACGTCAGCTGTTCAAATTCAATTGTCATAAACAGTTTAGAGATGAAACCTGTTCAGCAGCTTTCAGCAGAATTTTTTAAGCATTCATGCTGCACTTCCACAGGAAATGACATGTGGTTAGTTTCCATTTTACTTCCTGCAGCTCACCTGTCTTTGTGTCCCAGCATGACCCTCTGGATCACCACGGCCACCCTGCTAAGCTCCTCCTCCCGCAACCGCTCCAGAGCAGCGTCGTGAGCTTCCTGGTTCAAATCACAACATGCTCATTTTATTCCACTGGAGCAATAAGTTCAGTGATTGAGAAAAACACTTTAGAAACATGTCCGCTGTCCTGAAACGACTGCAGCTGCTTGTTCCAGTGTCATCTGATGAGTTTTGGTACCTTGAGGAAGATTTGCCTCCTGCCCATTTTCCACTCGTCCTGTCCTTTAATCACAGCCTGGCAGATGGCCTCACAGCAGGCTCCAGCTCCACTCTGTGGGGACGGCCAAACATTTATAGTTTTAGTTTAAAAGCAGATGTTTGAAAAGGTTATGAACAGTTAATATGTCACCTGTTGCAGATAGATCTCCATTTTTAAATGTTCTCAATTAGAAAGCATAATGCTTTGTGTTACACAGTTATTGCAGCAGAAATACTGGAAGTGCTACAGATAGCTGCATTTGCAATGAATCATAAACTGTAAAGATAAAATCAAATGTGTGGCATTGTTGAAAAAAGGGGGTGGAGTGGTGGCTCAGTTGGTAGAACCGTTGCTTCTCAGAAATGGTAAATGGACTGTACTTATATAGCGCCTTTCTATCTTATTGAGATACTCAAAGCGCTTTACACTACAATCTGTGTCCTCATTTACCCATTCATACAGCACTCTACTAGATCTCTACAAAGCTAATTGAACAAAATCATTCTAAAGAGACTAATCAGTGATTTATCACATTCATACACCAATGGGACACACATCGGAGGCAATGAGAGGTTCAGTGTCTTGCCCAGGGACACTTTGCCATTTGACTGCTGTGGGGTTTGAACCCCCAACTTTTGCATTGGAGGACGACTGCTCTATCCACTCAGCCACAGCCGCCCTGAAAGAACGTCACTGGATCACATCTCGGACTGAGGTCTTTCTGGGTGGAGTTTGCATGATCTCTCTGTGCTACGTGGGTTTTCTCCAGGTACTCTGGTTTCCTCCCACAGACTAAAAACATTCAAATTTAATTCAAATTCAAAAATACTTTATTAATCCCAGATGGAAAATATATGCTGTTGTAACTCATCATCCTGGTTTCATTAAAGAGTTGTTCTAGATGCCGATGGCTGTGGGCAGGAAGGATCTCTTGTAGAGGTCTGTCTTACAATAGATCTGAAGAAGCCTCTGACTGAAGACACACTGTTGCTGTATGGCAGTCTGATGAAGAGGATGCTGATGGTTGTCTATAATGTTCTTCTTTTTATGAAGGATCCTTCTTTGTACAATCATCTCCAAAGGTTCTAGAGGAGTCCCCAGAACTGAACCAGCCTTCTTTATGAGCTTGTTGATCTTTTTTAAGTCACTTGCTCTGGTGCTGCTACCCCAGCAGATGATGGCAGAAGAGATAGTGCTCTCTACAACAGACTTATAGAAGATATGCAGCATCTTGCTGCAAACATTGAAGGACTTCAGATTCCTCAAGTAGTACAGTCTGCTCTGTCCCTTCTTGTAGACAGCTTCACTGTTGCATTTCCAGTCCAGTCTGTTGTCCAGGTGAACTCCAAGGTATTTATTAGGGATGGGGCCAATCCGATCCAGTATCGGTATCGGCCTCCGATGCCAGCATAATTTACATATCGGATTTTTCCGATCCACCTGCCGATATTTCCGATCCATGCATGTCTGTGGTTGAACTGCAGTTGGATTCATACTATGAAATGGATTTCCTGAACGGCGGCGTGTCTCATGAACCCAGAGTAATAAGACCCGCCTCACATTCAGGAAATCCAGTTCATAGTTTGCAGCCAGCTACAACGTGAGGGCTGAGTTAGCAGCACTGTGGCTAACAGCTAACAAACTTTTCATCTAAACATGTCCGCTGTGTGGAAGTATTTTACACTAGAAACACCACAAAACAAGACAGCAACATGCAGTGTCTGCAGAGCCATAGTGCCACATTAAACCGCAGTAAAGTTCGTTTTACGTTGGACAGTCGAGCTCCGGGACTTCAGCGGGGCGCTGCTCTTTGCTCAACCCAAAACAGACGACTCGATCCCGGCCAGCCGCGTCCAATCTGCCCCGCTCAGTCTGCCCGTCTCTGAGGAAGGACAGACTGAGCGCGGCTACCCCAAATCAGGCTGCTTGCTTCGGATTGAACAAGAAGAAGACATCGCTGAAACCACGGAGCTCGAATGTTTACAGAGAAGTTGCTAAACTTCATCATAATTAATGACCAACTACTATCAGTTTTAGAAAATGAAGGATTTCTCAGTTTGATTCTTGCATCCAAGATATAGTTTACCCTCCATGAGATATTCATCAGTACAACAGTAGACAATCATAAAAAAAAACATGATTTGAAAATTATATATATTAAAAACAAAAACAGCTACATTATAAAGTAATGTAAATAACTAAAAACAGGAACATGTCTGTTGGTTTATGCCATGAACTTAGCAGATGTTTGAAGACAATTAACATTTAATTTAATTTAATTTAATTCATTTATTCATTCATTTAAAAGAAACTAAATAAAATAAAAAATCATCAAAAAGAAAACATTGAATGAAAATAGTGCAGAAAGAAGAAAAATAATTCTTATATCTGCCCCTTATTTAAAAAAATATAAAATAACTTTAAACAATCACTTAAATTAATCACTTTAATATCTACTTTAAAGCTAGGAATACAAAAACATGTTTTGTGTTAGCAGAATTTAATTCTAACTTTAAAACTTATCCAACATTAATAAAACTTACCTCAAGTTGCCTTTTTGGACATGCATGCATAGATTTGTACAAAATTGTACCTGAGAGGAGATTATTACAGCTTCATATAAAATCAATGATGATGATGATATTGGAACTGGATCGGTATTGGCCGATATTCAGATTTAGGTATCGGGATCGGATCGGAAGTTTAAAAAAAGTGGATCGGTGCATCCCTAGTATTTATACTTCTCCACCACCTCCACTTCTTCTCCCATGATGAAAATAGGGTTGGACCTGTTCCTGTTTCTCCTGAAATCTACAATCATCTCCTTTGTTTTGTTCACATTCAAGATGAGATGATTGTTTCCACACCATGCCACAAAGCGGTCCACCACATCTTCTTGTCCATCTCTGAAACACCTGACCACTGCAGAGTCATCTGAATATTTCTGCAGATGACAGGAGTCTGTTTTGTAATGGAAATCTGAGGTGCACATAGTGAAAAGGAATGGTGAGAGTACAGTCCCCTGTGGCGCTCCTGAGCTACTGACCACCTGGTTAGTTACACAACCTTTGAGTCTCACAAAAAGCAGGTGTATGATGGCATCTTCAACTCCAAGTCCATGCTGATAAGCAAACTGCAGTGGGTCCTGATATGTGCTTGTTTGTTTAGTCAGGTGGGCCAACAGAAGTCTCTCTAGGACCTTCATGATGTGGGATGTCAGAGCAACAGGTCTATAGTAATTGAGGACTGATGGGTGAGTTTTCTTTGGTACCGGAACAAGGCAGGAGGTTTTCCACAACACTGGAACCTTCTCCTGGGTCAGGCTAAGGATGAAGAGGTGCAGCAGAACCCCACAGAGCTGCTCTGCACAGACCTTCAGGACTCTGGGACTGACACCATCTGGACCTGCAGCCTTATTCCGGTTCGGTCTCTCCAGCTGCTTCCTCACCTGACTTCTAGAGACGCGGAGGGGGGAAGCAAAGGAGGTATCAGCATCTTCTGATTTGGTTGAAGACCAACATGTATAAGAAGAATGGTCCATGAGCGAGGTGGTAGATACAATATTTGAGGTGTGACAGGACAGCCTTGGGTCAAAGGAGGGTGGTATGTATGCTTGGCTGTGGGAAAGAGAGGAGCATGCTGAGCTTGTTCCTGAACTGAACCTATTGAAGAATGTGTGCAGTTCATTGGCTCTGTCCAGGCTTCCATCCTTCTGATCCGCCGTCTGCTTGAAGCCTGTGATCTGTTTCATCCCTGACCACACCTCTCTGATATTGTTCTGCTGGAGCTTGCTCTCCATCTTTTTCTTGTACACCTCCTTGCTGTTTCTGATCTTGACTTTTAGTTGCTTCTGTGTACTCCTCAATAATTCCCTGTCTCCCTCCCTGAAGGCTCTTTTTTTCTGGTTTAGTAGTTCCTTCAGGTCAGTGGTGCTCTAGGGTTTGTTAATGGGGAATCATCTCACTGTTCTGGTGGGGATGGTGTTGTTTACACAGAAGTTTATATAGTCAGTCACACACTCAGTCCTGGCAATGATGTCCTCTCCATGTGGCTGGCACAGTGCATCCCAGTCTGTAGCCTCAAAACAACCCCGCAGGGGTTGAAATCAATTAAAGAGCTATCTATAACAGGTAAGGTAATAACTGCTATTAAATTTTGCACAAAACTGCACAATCACTTTAAGAGAGGTCCCAATTATCCCTGGTTTCCAGATTTTACAATAAAAAAATAAAAATAAAGAGTAAAAATTAAAAACAGGAGACTTAACAGTTCTGGGGTCACAGATGTTGGTCTTCAGGAAGACTCTGTATCGTGACAGGAAGTCCTCAAAGGTGTGTCGCACTGGATACCCCAGCTTCCTGATGCGGATGGTGTCCAACATCCCCGAGTATCTGAGTTGACGCATGCACAGCTCTCGGTTAAACACCTGCAGGAGGACCAAATACAGAGGCTTTAAACATTATTATCACAATTTCTTTATGGGGGGTGGGGAGGGGTTTATTTCAATAACTATTGTATTGATCTGATTGTTTTAAGGCAGGAGAAAGTTATAACTGCTTATGGAGCACAGAAATGTCAAAACACAAAACTCACAGAAGCTTGTTAACATATTAAATTGAGGTATTTGGGACTCAAAGGCTTTGTTCATGCTGCAGGTCTTAATGTTCTTCATGTTTCTTAGTGGTTCTTCACATGACATGAACATGTGACCTCCATCAGAGGCCAGAGTGGATTGTTTATTGTTCGAGGAAGAAGATGTGATGTCACACACAGCACGCTATGCTCATGGAAACTATGGACATGGACGCCATGTTAACTTGTGAAAATTATTATCTGACATGTTTGTTTGATCCAGTGTCTGCAGTGAATTTAGCCTCCTCCGGTGCAGCATTGGATTTCTGCAACAGGAGCAAGGCACTGAAGGTAGAAACAAAGTCACGTGTGGATCAGTTCAAGAAGACGTCGGTGTTCCAGGATTTAAACTGCACAAGGTTATCATAATTATTAATACTTGGATGGGTCTGTTCAGCCCACCTCACTGACATGGAATTGTATGAAATGAGACATGAGCGTTCAGACTGAAGGTTATTTGAAGACCATCAGATATGGACCTGATTCAGATGAGATGTTCACATTCAGTCTGTTGTGAATAAATCTGGTATGGGTTGCATACGGGCAGATAAAATAAGATTTGGGTCATATGTGCCTGCAGTGTGAACGTAGACTAAGGAAACGCAGCTGATCAAACCCCATCATGTTCAATCTGAGATGATCTGAACAATGTTTCACTAAAATCAACAAGGATGAGCCTTCATGATGATGCAGGTAAAAATGTTTGGGAATGTTTATATAAAAGCTTTGTGTATCTCACAGAAACGTAAGTTGTTTTGATTCTTTATTCACTCCACTGGTGTCCAGTTTCTTACAGAATACATTAAGAAGTATTCCTTCCTGTCCATAAATCACTTTCACAGAATGTGCCGGACCATCTTACACATTATGAATCGCTTGGACCTCTCACATCAGCAAATACAGGATTATTAGTTGTTTCACACACCAGAACCAAACAAGATGCTTTTAGTTTTTAGGTTCTTCACATGTGGACCCGTCACATGTGGACTTGTTAGATTGACCCTACTGATGATGAGTTGTCTCAGCAGCAATCCTGCTCAGTATGAGAGGAACCGCATGTTCAGACATTTGGTGCATGTGGTTAGCTGAGGAGCCACTGGGGCAGAGCTACCATCTGTGGGATTATGACTGAACGTCTCCAAGTCAGAATCCTGCCTAGATGTGACGATACTGAAGCGCTGCAGATCCTTGGTTGGTCTCTGATAGCTGGCTTCAGCCGGTGTGGAGAGCCCCTGCCGCCGGGCCGAGGCTGAACCACCGAGAGTGGGGAGTGGTGGAGCAGAGGTTAGAGAAGGTGGGACTGTGATCAAAAGGTCTCTGGTCCAACTACCTGGACAGGCAACATCAAAATGTGGGTGGGAAAGGTGAAGCACCCACACCTGCCTCCACCCTCATTTGCCCCACTCTGGGTCCTGCTGCATAGATGAATTTACCTCGCCTTGCCTTAAACAAGGCAGCACTTTGGTACAACTGCTGCCTCTCAGTGAGCAGGTTGCCGGTTCAAATCTCGCCCGGGGGGCCTTTCTGGGTGGATCCAACATTTTTCAGTCAGGTCATCTGGACAGTTTCTTTTTTTGTGCTGAAATGTTTCGCTTTTGATCCGGAAGGCTTCACCGGTCAAGGAAACACAGTCAAGGAAGCATGGACTTTGTTGTTTTCAACCAGTTCCACTTTGGAGTAAGCTGTTGGGGAAGAACCAGTTTTGTGTTGTGTGTTTCCTTGACTGATGAAGTCTTCCGGATCGAAGACAAAACGTTTCAGCACAAAAAAAAAAAAACTGTCCAGATGACCTAACTGAAAAATGTTGGATTGTATACCTGGATTATTGAGCATGGACTTTGTTGTTTCTGTGTGGAGTTTGCATGTTATCTCCATGCATGTGTGGACTTTCTCTGGGTACTCCATTTTTCTCCCACAGACCAAAAACATGCATGTTAGGCTGATTGATAACTCTAAATTGTCCCTAGGTGCAGGGGGCGCTCGAGCACCGCCCATCCAATGAAACCACTCACCATTTTACATTGAAGACTTAAAAAAAAAAAAAAAAAAAAGATAAAATAAAAAATATTTCAAAATATATGTATATATTTTTTAGTTGTGTAAGATAAATATTTTATAGTTAATGATGAGTTAAATTGTTTCTTTCAAAAACGTTGTCTGATTGGTGACATATTTCTGGCCCCTGGGGGTGCAATAATGTAATCCATAGATTCTCGTTAAAAATTGCACATGCGCAATTATTCAGATACACTTCAAGAGATAAGAAGATTCTGGGCGCAGTTATTGCACCCGGGGGCACGTCGAATGCGAGCTGTACCGATCAGTACCGATCATGTACTTCCGGTTAAATTTTTTTGTGTGTGTGTGGGTGTGTCCGGGAACAGATCGTGCAGCAGTGACACTCAAAACCAGTCTGGCTGCAGGTACGCTTTAAGCCAGAGGTCACTTGGTCCAGATTCGGACCAAGTGATGGTTCTGTCTGGACCTGACAGAACATTGGATCGGGTCACCCCTTGCTTGCTGGGTCAAGACTGCTGCTCACTGTTTGGATGTGTTGTGGCTGCATTCTGCTGTTGTTGTTAGTACAACTTTGGCGAGACCTACAATCAGCAAAATTTGAAACTATTCTATCATCTACTCGACGGTGAGTTGCCTTTTTGTTTTAAAATACTGTTGGACGTGTTAGTTGCTGTTTAAACGCCTCAGCAAAAAATCACAGCACTTACAATGCAAGACTCCATAGAGCTAACGGCTGATTTAACTAATGTTTTTTATCCTGGTCAATGTGATCTTCCCAATCATGTATTTATTTAATATGCTAAAAACGGTACTCAATAAGTAAGCCAAATAAAAGACCATACCTTTAGTAATTAAAAGACATCTTTGGTTGAATTTATTTGAACTATTTTAAGGTATATCCTGATGCATGCTCAATAATCCAGGTAGAAAAATCTAAAAAAAGTTCAATCTGGTCCTCTGGACATTCAAAACAACAAAACAAAGCAAATCAACAAAAAAATGTAGAAACGTTTCGTCTCTCATCAGAGAGACTTCCTCAGTCTGAGGTGCTGTATTCAGCTCAGTCTCTTAAATAGCACCGTCTCAGAGTGGATCAACCAGTTTTGCTGCTGACAACCAAAACCAGCTGATCACATGCTCAAGAAGGGCCATCAGCCTAACAATGGATCATTAGCACACTGATGGCTGTTTACTATTCACAGAGGGCTGAGTGATACTAGCAATCACAGCATTGTAAGAGGGGGACAGTTGAACCCGGAGGCCTCCACCCCTGTTTAACGATGGACGATTTCTTTTCACAAAGATGGCCTCCTTTACTCCTCTCTCAAACCATCGTTCCTCTCTGTCCAGGATGTGAACATTGTCATCCCTGAAAGAGTGACCGCTGGCCTGGAGATGAGTGTAGACCGCAGAGTCCTGGCCTGATGATGTTGATCTTCTGTGCTGGGCCATCCTTTTGGCCAGTGGCTGTTTTGTTTCCCCGATGTAAGACTGATCACAGCCCTCCTGACACTGAACAGCATACACAATATTACTCTGTTTGTGCCGGGGGACTGGATCTTTGGGATGAACCAGTCTTTGCCGTAATGTATTTTGGGGTTTAAAAGCCACTGGGACGTTATGTTTAGAAAATAAACGTCTCAGTTTCTCTGATACTCCCTCAACATATGGAATGACCACTGGTCTGGGTCTGGGTTCCTCCTTTTCACCTGTTGGCTGACTGGAGTCCTGTTTGGGTTTCTTCTCTGCTTTCAGGAAGGCCCAGTTAGGATATCCACATTGCTCTAGAGCCTGTCTTGTGTGGGATTTCTCCTTCTGCCTGGCTCCTGAGCTCGTGGGGATGCTGTCTGCTCTGTGATACAGAGTCCTGATGACTCCTAACTTGTGCTCCAAAGGGTGATGGGAGTCAAACTGCAAATACTGGTCTTTGTGGGTGGTTTTGCGGTACACCTCAATTTGCAAATGTCCTCTATCAGAGACTGAGACCTCACAGTCCAAGAAAGCCAATCTGCCATTTTTTACATCTTCTCGTGTGAACTTGATGTATTTATCCACAGAGTTGATGTGGTCAGTAAAATGTTGGACTTCCTGAGATTTGATTTTAACCCAGGTGTCGTCAACATACCTGAACCAATGACTTGGTGGTGTCCCTGAAAAGGACGTCAAGGCTCTCTTTTCTACCTCCTCCATGTATTTTAAGGTATCTTTGCTACCTGGATTATTGAGCATGCATCAGGGTATCTTTGTTACTTTTTGACAAATCGCTCCAGCGGCAGTGGTGGTTTTGTCTTTAGTACTGGCTCGGTTTGAGTTGAATTATACCAGTAACTACGCGCACCATTCTGTTCAGGTTCTGTTCATGTTCTGTTCATGGTCTGTTCATGTTCTGTTTGTCTGTATGGTTCAGTTCAGGTTCTGTTCAGTCTGTTTTTGTGGTTCTGTTCAAGTTCTGTTCAGTCTATTTGCAGTTCTCTTCAGTATGTATACATGTTTGATTTTTTTTATAACGGTTACAAACTATTTAAGCTAAAGCTAATTTAATTTATCTGACTATGTACTTAATTTATGTTTTTGACCTCTTAGGTTTTATTGTCACCCCCTTTAACAAAGTTCTACAATTGATGGCAAACTACCACCTGACCACGTTATGGTAGAAAATCAACCTCTTTGTTGACTGCTTTTAGCCTTTATGCGTGTGTATATGTGTGTGTGTATATCAGAGTCAGAGTCGTAGTGTCTTTACTTGTCATACGCACCACATGTCGTGCATGTTGTGGAACGAAATTGTGTACACAGGGTCCCAGTTACATCCAACAAAAGTATAAAATGTAAAAGAAACAGTAATAAGATCTAAAATATGAGCTAAGAAAAACGTTAACTAAAAACACACTAAGCACTAGTAGTACAAAAACAATACGCCGAACAGCAGCCTCAGGGTAGAAGCTGTTCCTGAGTCTAGTGGTTCTACACTTAATGCTCTTCAACCTCCTTCCTGAGGGGAGCGGGGCAAAAATTGTGTGTGCTGGGTGAGTGGGGTCCTTCATGATGCAGGTGGCCCTCTTCTTGCATCTGGAAGTGTAGATGTCTGTGATGGTGGGGAGGCTGGCTACAACGTACTTCTGTGCAGCCTTCACCACTCTCTGCAAAGCTTTTCTTTCTGCAGAGGATGCTCTCCACTGCACACCTATAGAAAACGGTGAGGACTGAGCTTCCCAGACCAGCTCACCTCAGCTGCCTGAGGAAGTAGAGTATCTGATGTGCTTTCTTGATCAGGCTGGTAGTGTTGTTTCCCCAGCTGAGGTTGTCATTCAGGTGCACACCCAAGTACTTGTAGTTGGAGACCACTTCCACCACAGATCCTCCTATATTTGTGGGGTAGGTGTGTTTGTTCCATCTGAAGTCCACGATCATCTCCTTCATCTTCTTCACATTGATGTAAAGGTTATTCTCCTTGCATCAGCTCTCCAGGTGTTCCACCTCCTGCCTGTAGCTGGACTCGTTGTTTGTGATGCATCCCACCACAGCTGTATCATCTGAAAACTTAACAATATGACAGTCTGGATGGGTAGGTGCACAGTCATATGTTAGCAGAGTGAACAGGAGAGGGCTCAGAACACAGCCCTCAGGGGAGTCAGTGCTGAGGGTCATGGTGGAGGAGAAGTTGTGGATCCTCACGGACTGCGGCCTGTTTGTTAAGAAGTCTAGGACCCATATATGTGTGTGTGTGTGTGTGTGTGTGTGTGTGTGTGTGTG